TTCTGTAAGTGTGACACTGAGTGTATGTGCATATATATTTATAACTTGCTGATTCCTTACTGATACTTTAAATTTTTTTGTTTTGCTTAACCTAAATTATAATTAGTATATTTTTGTCTTCATGTTAATATTTTTTATAAAGTTTAGGCAAACCTCAGATATTCAGAGAACATTCTTTATTTTGTAGACTTTGGAAGAAATTCTGTAAGTGTGACACTGAGTGTATGTGCATATATATATATATATATATATATATATATATATATATATAAATACATATATATATCTCATCCTTTCCTCAGTTTATGGACACAAGTTGTTTCTGTTTTTTGCTTATTAAGGATAATGCTGCTGTATAACTAAGAATATATATATTCTTTGCATGTATATATATATGAATATATATGTTTATGTATGAATCTCTGTAATGAATGGGAGTGAGAAAAAGAGAATATATACATATATAGTTGAATATTATTTAGCTGTAAAGAAGAATGTGCTACTGATGGAAGCTACAACACTGATGAATCTTGAAAACATGCTAAACATGAAAGACACCACAAAAGAAGATATGAGATATTTTATGACTCTTTATTTCATTCAGTGTGGTCTCTATATTGCCTAGACTCGCCTCAAATTTGAGATCCTTCTTTTTCATCTCCCAAGTACTTGAAAGTATAGGAATATTTCACAATTTCCAACTGTGTGATTCTGTTTTTGTGATGTGTCCAGAATAAACAAATCCATAGTGGCACAAAGTAGTTTCCCCCAACCCAGAGTATAGAAGAAAGGAGAAAAGAGAAGTAAGCGTGAATGAATATTGTATTTCCTTATGTGTTGTTAATATAGTGATTATAGCCAACAATAATGTACTGTGTATTTCAAAATATCTAGAAGTGAGGAGTTTCAATGTTCTCAGTGCAAAGAAATGATAAATATTTGAGTTGATGGTTATATCTGATTTCTTATCATACACTGTATTCATGTGTTGCAATGTCACACTGTAACACATGAATATGTAAAATTGTTAATTAAAATATTAAAGTATTCTAAATATAGTGAAGATCATACAACTCTAAATGTACTAAACAAAGAATTGAGCATTTAAATGGGGTGAAATTTATGTCATGTGAACTATTTTTAATAGAGCTTTCATAAAATGTACTGTTACAACCACTTAAAATAGAATTTAGCAATTAAGGTCTTAAAAATAAGTGTGTGCATATTCTTTCAGTGCTTTAAATGATTTATTTTTATGTTCAGCAGCTATATTTCTAATTCATAATTCTATTTAGGACCTGCACTTTATTTTTGTAATGTACCTGTATATTTGATATTATAAAATTTTTAAATGGGTAAAAACATATCTTCTAAATTCAAAATTTTAAAAGTGTGTCAGTCTAGGTATGTTAGTGCACTCCTGTAATCTCAACATTATGAGAGACTGAGTTAAGAGGATTGCAAATTTGTCTCCAGCCTGGGAAATTTTGTCACTTAGTGAGACCCTGTCTCAAAATTAAAACTTAAAAAGGATTCGGAATATAGGTCAGTGTGACGGCTCTTTAATTCTTGGTACTGTACTGAAAAAAAAAGGGGCAAAATTATTTGAATCCTTTGGTTCCCGACAGTTGATGACTAGATTAGACTGTTGGTTTTCTTTCAATAAATGGCCCTAGACTGACATTTCTAGAGACTTTGTTAAGCTGTTTTATATTTCATTAATGTTGGATTCTGCACTTTTAACAAGCTTCCATTTGATGGTGGGTAGCAAAATGTTACAGGGATTATACAAGAAAGAATATCCTATATCAAAAGAACTATCAAAAAACAGAGAAAGGTCTTTGACACACCTGAGGCTATATATAGTAAACTGTAGTGATGCCTGGCAGCACCTTTGAATATAAGACAAGATACAAGCATGGGATAAGAGATTAGAGAAGAGCTTTAAAGTTTTGTTTTTCACCTCACCTCAACATTGTCCTGGGAAATCACTGCCATCCTACTCTTATGGAGAGCTGTGTTTGAGGAGAAAAAGCCCTTAACTAGTGGTGTCTAACAAATAATATCAAAGCAGTTTCAAAGTTACGATGGGTAAAACAAAAAATAGATGCCACTGGTTTCTTCTCAGGGAAGTAGAGAATAAGGGAAAAGAAAAGATGAAAAAATGGAAATAAAGTATTTGTAAATAAGGAAGGGAAGAGGGGGTGAAGGGAACAGGGACAAGGGGAAAAATGAGAACCAAGACCTGTCATGTAAAGGTAAAGGATCTCAATGATCAATGCAACTGTACTGTATACCTAAAATGTACCAATAAACTCAATGTGAGAAAAAAAAAATACAATTTTTTGTATTTTTTTGAAAAAGAAATTGCTCCTACCTTTGAAACAGTAGCCAAAGCCAGACAAACAGAAAATCCAGTTTTTCTTAAACTGTCCAGGAAGCTGGGATAGCAGGGCAACAGAGTGACCCAAATACAAGGAGAAATAAATGTTTACAAGAAGAAATATGATGATAACAATGGTCTACATAGAGTAGTTACAACCAGTCATCAATAAGAAGAGTTGTGTTTGGGTGGTTATTGAATTGATAGAGGCCAAGTATACACTAGTGTGAGAGCACGCAGTCCTAGAGGCCACACTTATAAGTTAATTTTCTTTTTCTTTTTGCTGTGGTGTGGTGGTATGATTTTTTTGTTTTCATTAAGTTTATTGGTGCTTTTTAGCTATACAGTGCCGTTACATTCATCATTGGAAACTTGTAACTTCATATGATGTATTTTGGTTCTTATTTTTTCCCCATATCCCTGCTCTCCTTTCACCACCTCCACCCTTCCCTATTTACAAAGACTTTATTTCCATTGTTTCCTTTTATCATATTTTTTCTTTTCCTTTCTTTCCTTTCCCCTACCCGTCACACTCTACTCCTTTAGCCCTTTTCTTCCTATTTCACATTATCAATTAGACAGTTTTGATTCACCTATAAATTATACTCTGTAAACTCCAACCACTGATGCTCACAGAGAGGACTACAGTGAGGCTGGAGAATGTATCCCTCATAGTGAAAACCAAGGAAAAGTAACCCAGATTCCTATATACAGCGCCAAATTTGGACTGAAATCCAGACCTTTATTTTGATGAAAATAAAAATTAAAACAAACAAACAGGCCCGGGATGTAGCTCAGTGGTTCTACCACCTGCCTCACAAGTGCAAGGGCAAGGTCACGAGTTTGATCCCCGGTATCACACACACACACACACAAAAAGGTACGAAATGTTAAATTTAAAGAAAATGCCTACCATTTCTATAGTATCTGGGAAGATGAGGTGAATATTATTGATACTCACTGCAGACTGATTTTAAATACAGAAAGTTAGTAAATTACCTTTTAATATCAAAATATATCACTGCTTTCAGTTATTAAAAATATAAATACTAGTTGCAGAGGTAAAATTCTTTGATTTTATTGACAGGCATAGGCGGCAAATTAAAAGAAGCACATTTAGATTTGCTAAGTGTATATTAAGAGTTCTCACCACACACACACATACACACACATACACACACACACAATGGTAACTGAACTGATAGATATGTTAATTAGCTTTATTGTGGGAATCTGGCACAAGGTATACTTTTATTGAAACACTACATACACCTTAAACGCACACAATTTTTAATTTGTCAAATATAGCTCAAATATGGGAAAGGAGTCCATTTAGGATATCATTATTCAGTCAAATAGCAATGTACATTTAAATTGTTACTTTGAGAAGATTTAATCTTATATATAAAATAGAATTTTTTATAAGTTAGTAGCGCAAAAATACTTTGAATAATATTATGTGAAATGTTTCTTGCTCTCTTTTCGTTGAAAATTCCTTACAATCTGGGTTTACTAGAACAAATTTGTGGGATGATATGCTAGAGAAATTCTATAGAGATGTTTAATATTAAAGCATCTCAGATGAAAAAGTACTGAAAGCTTTCAGGACATCTGTTGTTCAAGAGAACAGAGTCTTCCTCTACAACTTGTAAACCAGTCCTTGTTTGTGAAGTCGGTACACATATCATGAACATATCCAGTCAGTTTTTCTTCATAGAAAATAGGAATCAAAGATTTTAGGGTATTTATGATGATCAACATTTTCCCCTTATTTCAGAAAATTATTTCAATCCATGAAGAATCTAGGCCCTTTTGGAAACTATGTAAAAAGAAATATCATATTCAGCATAGCAATTATTTTCACCCATACACCTTCCTCTGGGTAATTTTTCAAATACTTACTTAATATCTAGGTTTTTCCACTTTTTGTGCCTGTATCAGTGTAGTAATTATTTCTGTACTTGAGAATATTTTACATAAGCTTCTCCATATGTGTGTGTGTGTGTGTGTGAGTGTGTGTGTGTGTGTGTGTGTGTGTATGTGTGTATGTTACTAAGGACAGAACCAGGACTTCATGCATACTAGGAAAATATTCTAGCATTAAACTACATCTTCAACCCCTTACTTTCTTTTCTATGTCAATTCTTATTTCTTTAATCCATAAATTTCTATCCTCTTCCTCATTCTATATTTGTGGGGGAATTTCTGTAATGATTAAAGAAACTGGCACCGAAATTTTAGAGGTACTATGGTTTTGAACCTTCTTACTCATGCATGTTGATGAAAATTGATGAAACAGTTGAACTTCAAGGTATTCAAAAGAGTGAGTAATTCTGAAATAACTCCATTTATCTTTCATTAGTACATGATAGCATGTTTTCAAAGAGGTTCATGTAGAAATAAAGGAAATCACTGTAAGGTTGTTAAGCCTTAGAGATACATCTCAGTGTATAATACTACATTTAAAAGACTAACATTTATTTTTCTTTTAAATTAATGTGCTTTTTGTTTTCTAAGCAAAAGCAAATTTTTCTTTCAATATTACTCAAATTTCCATAAGATACCTTTAAATGATGTAAAAGTATTGCTATGTTTATATATTTCTTTTTTCAAACAGGTGCTGTTCCCTCTGAGAGATGGATAGTAAATTTTGACAAAGATCTTTTAGATGGCCTTGTTTTTGCAACACAGTTAGCAGCCTATTGCCCATTTTTGGTAAGAAGCACTTAAGATAATTTAGTGATTAAAATTTGAAATATGTTTCCTGTAAACTGGTTATTTTAAATATCCTTATTTTAAAGGCACATGTATGAACTGCTAGCATTTACTCAACTACAAAGAACACTTTAAAAATAGCAATAATTATTATATTAATGAAATGTTTTATTTTCTTTTCTAGATTGAGTCTCATTTTGTAAATATGTATACAAAACCAAAACGTCCTGAACAATATCTGCATAATTGCTTAATTATTATAAGTAGTTTTGATGACATTGGTCTTGACATGAGTATACAGGTGGGTTCCTTTAAATCACAATACTATATACATTTTATGAGTTTCTTTATATTATTATTTGTTCATAAATTTTAATTCTGAATTGAAAGACTTCTCATAGTATAAAGTATGGAAATTTAAACATGACTCAGAAATGTATTGGATACTAAAAATCAAAATATGTAATTATTTGATGGCATATATAATATACTATAATAATCACATTATAATATCATAATTATGTACATGTAATTTTTCATAATAAAAAGAGGGAATTTTAGTTTGGGTTTCTGTAACCACAAGAATGAGGGTTGAGTTTCTTTGAAAGAATAAACAAAACTGACAAACCCTAGGCCAACCTTACCAAAAAAAAAAAAAAAAAAAAAAAAA